CTATGACTATGCAGGCGTCTCTCCTAACAAACCTGTCCCTTTCAGGGGCTGCTCCTTCTGCCCACGTGTGTTTGTGCAAGCATCCTTTACTTACTTCCCTTCCCTTTTTATAACAAACCTGACCTTTTGAATATTAAAAAAAAAACACTCTGATTCCTTACCATTTATTTATAGCAGCATTGAAAATCCTCCACATCCTTCTTTGCTAGGATTCCATGTCAGCACCTTTTAACAGAAATATGATGCAAGCCATGTATCTACTTAAATTTTTTCCATTAGTAATATTAAAAAAAAAAGGGCCTCCCTGGTGGCACAAGGGATTAAGATGCAACCTATGAAGCTATCCACTACCTCTGCAGCACCAGTTCAATCCCCCATCAGGGAGATGCCCACATGGCGCTGCAGACCTCTCCTTGCTGCACCTCCCCCTGCAGTGACCCTCAGGGCTAATGGCTGTTGCCATGGTCCTTGAGGTCCGGCGTGAGCAAGGAACCATGCGCGCAGGGGGAGAACAGCAAAATCCCTAAGATGCAGAGAAGCCGAATGCCTGCCAAGAGATAACGACCACCAGAAGCTGCCACAAAGATGATTAAAAGAAATGCTGACCACCTGGAACCTTATCTCGCTTTCTCAAGGCCCCTAAACTTTATTCTGCTACAACTGTCTCTCTAAAATCTTTCCTTTTTCTGGTCATTGATTGCTAATTAAAAAGCATACATAATTTAATAATTAGGCTAATGCAAATGAAACATTACTAAACACTGTGTTATAATAGAATTGTAGTTTAATAATCTATTATGTGCTTAACTTTAGTACCTTTGATATTAACTACATTATAATATAAATTTACCTATGACAATTAATTATGAGTAAACATAAGTAAGTAATAGTAGTAGTAGTTAGTACAAAAATATAGAAAGAGTTAATAACCTGTCCAATTAGGAATAAGACTAGGTCCAGGTGTAACTTCGGACATAAATCACTGCCCTGTCAATTAAGCTAAGCCTATGAGCAAACTGATCTCTTTGATGTTCACTGTTCCTATGCCTTTAGAAAAAACATATATATACTGACCACTAACAAAAATAAAGTTACACTCAGATTTACACTCTCTCTTGAAGTGTGTCTGTTTGTCATTTCTTTAACCAAATCCCTGACCACCCTGCGCAGTCTCTCAACCCTGAGACAGCCTCATTGTCTACTGCTGTGCTGGTCCGCGGCATCTCCTGTCTGGACTGCTTCTCCCTTCAGCAGTGTATTTCAGTCAATCTGCCTATTTTGTTCCCCACTCTGTCTCTGGTGAATCCTCTCACAACCCCCCCACCCCCTGCCGCACCTCTGGCCTGTACCCTAGTTCCTGTATGCAAAAATAAATCAATCTTTTAAAAAATAAAATAAAAAACAAAATTATTTTATTAATATTTTATTCTACCCAATATATCCAAAATATTACTATTTTTATGTGCAACCAACATAAAACACTGAGATATTTTACATGATTTCCTTCATACCAAATCTTTGAAATCTCATATGTACTTTACATTTATAGTACATCTTTTGGCTAGGAGAGTTTCAAGTCACATGTGGCTGGTAACTCTCATTTTGGACAGTGTGATTTAATACACAATCAAATCTTCCACTTCAATCAAAGTGGACTCTTCTCAGTTGTCAGACTATGTCTTCTAATTCCTCATCTCTTTCTTCTCTTCACTATTTATGCCTTGGTTCTTCTTCAAATGTTCTCCCATCTCTGCCTTTTGAAATCATATTAGTTTTTTAAGGTCCCACTCAAATGATACCTTGTCTATAAAACTTGCAATAAGAAGGAAAGATTAATTCCAGAGACTAGACTGACATTCAGTTTATGGTCACATTACTCAAATAGACAAAATAAAACTGGATCTTTATGCTGTGCACAAAAATCAATTCCAATGAGTTAAAGGCCTAGTGTGAAAAGAAAATCTTTAGAACTCTTAGGAGAAAATACATGAAAGTATATTTATGACTCAAAGACATAAAGATATGTCTTCTAAATAATATACAAGAAGAATCTTCTAAATAATATACAAAAAAAGAAATAAGACACACAGAAAATAATCAATTTGACTTAATTTAAAACTTCCGTTCATTGAAAGAAAACATGAAAAAGCGAAAACAAGCTATATATATATATTTTTTTGAAACTTATTTGCAATGCATGTAATCAAGGATTAAAAGATTGATACTCAGATTATAAAGAGAACTTTTACAAATCAAAACCAAAAGACAAACAAGGGCCTTCCCAGTGGCGCAGCAGGTTGAGCACAGCCCTGTGAAGCTGTCTGTAGCCTCTGCAGTGCAGGTTTGACTCCTGGCTGGCCAGGGAGATACCCACATGGCGCAACAGACCTCTCCTGTCTCGCTGCTGCTCCCCTCAGCAGTGTATTTCAGTCTGTCTGCCTGTTCTGCTCCCTGCTCTGTCTCTGGTGAATCCTCTCACCTCCCCCACCTCTAGCCTGTACCCCAATTTTTGTATAAAAATAAAACAAATCTTAAAAACCAACCAACCAACAAACAAAAAATCCAAAAGACAAACAATGCAACAGGAAAATGGGTAAAAGAACTCATAGATGAGTAACAATAAATCAATAAATATGGAAAAAAATCAACCTTGTTAATAATCATGAACATATACATTAAGCCATCATGAGAAATCATTTCACATCTCTCAGATTGTTTTTTAAATAATCTGATAATATCAAGGATTGGCAAAGGTGTGGAGCAACAGAACACACTCCTGTTACTCTGGAGAGTGCTTTGTCATGATCCAATAGAGTGGATAATGTATATGTGACTTTACTCTCTACAACACACACAAAAATGGATCTTCCATATGATCCAGCAATTCCACTCCTACGTATCTACCCAAAGGACACAAAAACATTAATTCAAAAGAACACCTGCACCCCCATGTTTATTGCAGCACTATTTACAATAGGTAAGCTATGGAAACAACCCAAATGCCCCCAAAATAGATGTCTGGATCAAGAAGATGTGGTATAAATACACAATGGAATATTACTCAGCAATCAAAAAATAAGCTCATGCAATTCACAGCAACATGGATGGAGCTGGAAGGGATCATGCTCAGTGAAATAAGCCAGAAAGAAAAATACTGGATGGTTTCACTGATAGGAGGAATGTAGAGGAACCAAATAAGTGATTAGGAAAAAAAATAATTATAATAAATTAAAAATCAAAATTAACAAGCAACTACAAACCAGAGACATTCTGCAGGTGGGGAGAAGGGAGTAGGATCAAAACAGGGGTAGGAAGAGCACAAGGGAGTATGATGATGGTACATGGGTGAATGGATGGTGGGAATTTCACAGGGACTATAACTGAGATGAGAAAGCAATCATACATTGTACAAAAATGAAGAGTGATGTAAAAAATATATAAAATAAGGGCCTCCCTGGTGGCACAAGGGGTTAAGCACAGCACTATGAATCTATCCGCAACATCTGCTGCACAAGTTTGATCCCTGGCCAAGGAGCTACCCACATGGTGCAGCAGACCTCTCCTGTCTCCCCGCTGCTCCCCTCAGCAGTGTATTACAAATTGAAGATCTGTGTAACTTTCTGGTTTCTACAAATAGACTAAACTCAGATTTCCTGTCTCTTTATTCAGTAGTTTGTGAGTCTAGTTCTAAGAGATGGAAGTGGTGACCATTAAGTCACTTATGAGTATGTTAAGCCAATTTCATTTTCTTTTTTGGTAAGGTTATTTGACTGGTAAAAGATATTATAGGTATGGCTTATTTTCTTTCTTTCTTTTTTTAATATTTATTTATTTATGCATAAAGAGCTGGGGCATAGACCAGAGGTGTGGGGGGGTGGGTTGAGAGACAGAATGGGGAACAGAACAGGCAGATTGACCAAAGAACACTGCTGAGGGGAGCAGCCGATGAGACGGGAGAGGTCTGCTGCACCATGTGGGTTGCTACCTGGCCGGCCCAGGATGGAACTCATGCTGCAGAGGCTGTGGACTGCTTCATAGTGTGGTGCTTAACCCCTTGCGCCACCAGGGAGGCCCAGATATGGTTTATTTTCATTATAGCATGTAATTTGATGAAGTTTTATGAATTCCTTTAGAAAGGATAGAGAAATGTTGCCAAATGTTGACCACTAATATGTGGGATCATTGGAGGTTTAAGAAAAACACTGGAAGATGAATGATTTTCATGAATCAGGTGTCAACTCTAAGGGGAAAAAGTTCTATTCTTAACCATGTCTCATTCAACTTATTTATGAAGGCTTTAAATGATGATAAATATGTTGATAAAAATTTTGCAGAATGCAAAAGTGAATTAATCTCTCTCAGCCTTTCAGGAGAGGCTAACCTGCAGTCCATGCATCACTACACTTACCACATTCTTTTGATCTGGGCAGTCTGACTCCTCCACTAGACAGATTGCAAGTCCTCTAGGTTTGGAATCCTCTACCTTGGTGCTTGGCACATAGTAGGTATTCAACAAATATATGTCCATCTTAAACAAGCTTAATTGCAAGGAGGGATCATAATTCAAATGTTCAGGATACAGTAGGAAGGGATCCAAGCTAACCTGAAACTATTTAAAAGAAACAAATTCCTGTTTTGGAATTTAAAAAAAAAAACTAAAATTAACTGCACAGGTGAAAGAGTTGACAGTGGTTCGCCTAAAAGAGCACCTCCGTCCCCCCTCCCCCCTTTATTTTTTTGAGAGGAGTGGTTGCTGACTTAAAGCTCTCTGGAAACAACTGTGAAAAAAGAAGTTTCTTCAGCTTATTTACAGAACTCTGAAACTCTCACCGACAGAAATAGAGGAAGGTGCGATATGCAAATTAAAGGAGTTCACTGCCCCATTTTCATTTGCCTGAGACCGTGTGTACCTCAAAACCCCACATTTTAAAAGGGACAAATGGGTACTTGTTCAGAAGATGGTGACTAGGTGGCAGGGGGTTTGAAGCCGTGCCAAATAGAAATAGCTGGAGACGCTGACGGGATTTTTTAGTTTGTAGAAAATCAAACAGGGTTAGGGATGGTTTATGCTAGCTGTCTTCAAATAACCGAACAGACACTACTCAGTTCTCCAAAGAGCAGAACTATAATCACTAGAAATTGCAAAGTAACATTATGTCTGCTCAGGACTCCCTCTAACTTGTAGAATCTCCCTGAAGTTAAACGGAATGAGGTATTTAGGGGCGGTAATGCTGCTTGGTCCCAGCAAGAGTTCGAAGAGAGTTAGCCCGACAGGTTTGAAGGTACTTTTATATTGCGAAAGCGTAGACTGGAGGACCCCATTTCATCGTGCTTTGCGCGTTTGGCATTTCCCATGACGTCTTGCAGTCGCCCGGTGTCTACTAGTCTGATCTCCCCCAAAAGCGCCCACGCTGCGTTTCCGCTCTTCAGCCTCCTGTGGGGAGTAAGAGTAAGTTAACACCGAGGAACTGAGGAGAGGCGCTTTTCTGAGGACGCCTCTGATTACCCTCTCGGGTTTTTCCTCTCCCAGTTTTGCGATCTCCTAGGGCACGTCTGCAAAGGCCTCAAGGCCCCGCAGTACTCAAGATGCTCGCGCCTGAAACCTTACGACTCCTCGCCACCCACGCTCTGCGCCTCTCTCTCCGGACCAGCCTCTCCTCTATGGTAGGAGAGCGCGGCCGGTCTAACTCTCCAGCCCTCCAGTTGCCCCATCGAAGCTTTCCGGAGGCCTCACCGGAAGCGCTTGTGAGGAGCGTTGGAGAAGCCGGAAGTTGCGCCTTCTTTCCTCGCCGTTTCAAAATGCGGTTGAGGCCTTGAGGCCTCGGGGCCTGCGACTGACGCCCCCTGTCCCGCGCTTGGCGGGGGAGCGACTCCTGGAGCGGCCTTCAGGTGTGGCTCTGGACTTAAGCCGGCGGGGTCCGGGGGGCGGGGAGTGGGAGCGGGCGGCGGCGCGGCAGTCTCCACGGGCGGAAGGAGCTCGCGGGTGGATGGCGGCGTGGGCACGGGTGCGCCGGGCAGAAGAAGGGCTGGGGGCAGGATTAGAGGAGCAGCCCCCCAGGAAGATGAAATGGAGGTGAAGTGACGTGTCACCTATTCAGCTACCGGGCTCCAAACCTAAAATCGAAATATTGGTATTGACGATGTTTAATTGGACGCAGAATTGGAGGAATGTTGAGGCACTTGGGAGGAAAAAAGGTTGTGAGAGAGGGAAGCGAGGAGAATGACATTGGGGTGTCTCTCGAGAATCTCGGAGCTGCGGGTCATCTGTCTCAGAGACCCTGAGGGCTCGTTTGAAGAAAGCTCCTTTGTGGCCACACCCAGGCTTCCCAGGCAGAGTATCAGGAGATGGAGCTCAGGAATGTGTGTTTCTGTCATCAGCTTCCCGTTTGGTTTTTTTTTATCCTATGAAGCTTGAAAACCGCTGTTTTGAGGGGAGGTCTGTGTTGCGAAGTCCCTGCATACCTTGGGATGCTACACGTGGAACAAAAATCTGTCAGAGACTTTACTTCTCAGTTTAGGTTTATTCCTCTTCTTCCCTCGTACATTCTGATGCGAAAAAGTAATTTGAAACATAAATATTTATTTCATGATAAGCACTGGTTATGATCATAACTTTTTTAATAGTTAAAAAAAGTGCATACCTGTTTGAGAAAATGCACACAGTATAGAAGTATGTAAAGTTAACTGTCCATCTTTACTAACCTTTTACCTCTTGCAGTTAGCTACTTTATATTTATTTATTTATTTTTATATTCCCCATACAATTGCACCCCCCTTATTTTGGCTCCAATCCCTCCTTTCCCTGCCCCCCCCCGCCCCCATAGTGTGTCTCTGGTTTATAGTTGTTTGTTGACTTTGATTTTTTCTGTCTTATAATATTTTTTCTATTTTTATGCATAATGTTTTAAAACAACATTGGGATCATTTTGTATGTATTCTTCTGCATCTTAAATTTTTCAAATATCAATGTCATGGACAGCTTTCCATAAAGCATACATACTATACTTAGTGTTTTTTTTTTTTTTTTTTTACAAATCATACTTTAAAGACTTGCATGATATTGCATTACAGGATTATACAATAGTTTCTTTAATCAGTTCCCCCTTGGTGGATTTTTAGGTTGTCTTCTGACTTGGTTGTTTTGCAAACTGTGCTGGAGTTTACTTTTGCTACACACTTATTCTTTGTAGGTGTGTAGTAGGCTTGGTAAGAATTAAAAGATCTGAAAAGTAGTTTCTTTATTAAAAGAAAAAATCTAATCATTTCTGTGTAGTTGAGGGAGAATCAGACAGTAGTTTTTAATAGAGATCCCTAGGGCTCTAAAGAATTGGTAAAAATGATTAGTTCTGCTAACTTCTGATAAGTTATTGTTTTGTGGGCCCAGCACGCTTCTTTTGCATGCCCATGTCGGCTGGTCCTTTGCTCCTTAAGTGCTCTGAAAAAACAAGGTATTTTGCTCTACCTTGGGATATTCCTAGTTTTATATTATGGGAGAAGTAGTGAAATTGGTTTTTCTTTCAGTAAATACACCTCTTCTGAGGAAGGGCCCTTTTGAATACAGCAACAGAAAATAGCAAAAAGGGCTTTCTGCTTTCATTTAAAAGCAGACAAATTCTTCTCAGTTTTCTTTACATATCCCTAGGGTTTATTAATTGGAAAGAAACGTATTCAGAGAGTTAAAGCAATGACACTTAATCTTTTAATAGGACTGAAGTATTTTCTAAGAGGGCTAGATTTTTCAAGATACTATAGATAAACACAATATTTGTGATTTTCTCATTTGGTATATATACCATTCAATAAAGTAACTAAAACCTGTTTTTTCAATTCATATTTTTTTTCTGTTTACCCTGCTTTTAAAATGAGATAATTTAAATCATATCACGGATATATCATTTTACCTTTAAATATGCCAGAATGGGGCCTCCCCGGTGGCGCAGCAGTTGAGCGCTGGGTTACGAAGCTGCCCGAGGCCTCTGAGGCGCCGATTCGATCCCCGGCTGCTCCCAGGCCACCGGAGGAGGGTCCCACATGGCGTGCAGACCTCTCCTGCCGCCCGCTGCTCCCCTCAGCAGTGTACTTCGGTCCTTCTGCCTGCTCTGCTCCCCGCTCTGGCTCTGGTGAATTCTCTCACCCTCCTGCGCTTCTGACTGTACCCAGTGCATGTATAAACAAAACAAACAAACAAGCAAATAAATAAATAAATGAAACATGCCTCTATAGAAAAAAAAAATAAATATGCCAGAATGTATATCTTATCAGGTCAGGATTAAAAAAAAATGATTGCCATGCATTCAGTTAATCATTTCTAATAGTATCTGCTGTATATTACATCATTCAAAATTTCCTGACTGTTTAGAAAAATATGACATTTTGCACATGGCTTGCTTGAATCCAGACTTGAACAGGAATACACACTGTATTAGGTTTATTATATTTTACATTTTATTTATTTTTTAAAGATTTATTTATTTATTTATTTATTTATTTATTTATACAAGCACTGGGTACAGTCAGAAGCGAGGGAGGGTGAGAGAATTCACCAGAGCCAAAGCAGGGAACAGAATAGGCAGACTGACTAAATACACTGCTGAAGGGAGCAGCAGGCTCAGCAGGGGAGGTCTGTGCGCCATCTGGGCCCCTTGCTGGCGGCCGGGAATCGAACCGGCGCTCCAGAGGCTGCGGGCAGCTTTGCAGCCCAGTGCTCAAACGCTGCACCACCAGGGGAGGCCCTATTTTATATTTTAAAAAGATTTATTTTATTTATGCATATAAGAACTGGGGTGTAGGCCGGAGGTATGGGTAGTGGTGAGAGAATTCATCAGAAACAGAGTGGGGAGCAGAACAGGCAGATCCACTGAAATACACTGCTGAGGGGAACAGTGGGCAAGACTGGAGAGGTCTGCTGTGCCATTTGGGTCAGCTCGTTGGCTGGCGATTGAACTTGTGCTGAAGTGGCTGCAGATAGCTTCATAGTGCTGAGTCTGAGCTGCTTGCACCACCAGGGAGGCCCTTAGGTGTGTGTTTTTAAGTCTCTGTAACAATCTCCTTAGTTCAACTCTCCTACCCAACCGAAGTCCTATATGAGTATTAGGTACTTTCCTCTACCCTTCGTTTTCCCTACAAACATGTAGTTAGTTAGATCTGAGGTTTGATTAGATTTTAATATATATTTTTTGGATCAAGAATATTGCATAGGGCTTCCCTGATGGCGCAAGGTTTAAGTTGCAGCACTATGAAGCTGTAGAAAGCCGCTGCAGCACGAGTTCGGTCCCCAGCCAGGGAGGTGACCCGCATAGCACAGCAGACCTCTCCTGTCTCTCCGGTTGCTCCCCTCAGCAGTGTATTTCAGTCATTCCGCCTGTTCTGTTCCCCACTCTGTCTCTGGTGAATCCTCACCCCACAGCTCTGGCCTGTAATCCAGCTCTCGTGTACATAAATGAATAAATCTTTAAAAGAAAAGTTTTTTTAAAAAAAAGAATATTTCATAGGGGAGGTACTGGGTGCTTCTTATACTTCACATCAGAAAGTGTATGATGTGTGATTGACATTTTTAGAGGTAAGTTTAGTCAGTGCGTCAAGTGCTTAATCCTACTGCATATGTGTTAAAATCTCCCCTTCCCCCTCTATCAGGTGGTTTTAACATCTAATAATGATTGCTGAGGAGATGACATTTAACCTGAGACTGGAATGTTGAGGATGAATCAGTCTTGTACTGAACTCACTCTCAGTGCTCCTAGTGAGGAGACACTGTGCAAAAGCCCTGAAGCAGGAAGCAGAGGCCCTGGTAGAGAAACCAAAATGTCAGGGTGACTCAGGAGCAGGGGGAAGATAGTGCGGCTGGAGGGCTGGACTGTTTCTCTTGAGGACAGCAGTAAGCTATTGCGCAGGGCAGGTGCGGTGGACTTGCTTTTTTGTTTTGGTTTGTTTTTTGAATCCTGCCTATAGTGTGGAGCTTGGATTGAGAGACCAGTTAAGAGTCTATTGCTACTTCTTGAAGTAGTCAAGAAGTAACACATTTTGGTTTGGGGAAATGGTCACAGAGAGAAAGTGAAGGGATGGTTTTAAAATCTCCAGGGTCTGGTGATGTGATAAGGGGGAGGAGGGAGTCAAGATGAATCCTAACTTCTGGTCTGCGTGACTGAATGTAACTACCCACTGGCAGCAGGGTGTAGTGGAAAAATGATAAACTTTAGGCTTGGGCAAGTTATTTACTTCTTTAAGCCTTTAGTTTTTCTTTTAAGGAGCAGATAACAGTACCTAATCCTTCCTATACTCAGAGGGATTGCAAGTAGAAGAGGGACAAGATTTCTCTATTTCTCACACATGTCTTTGAACAAAGACTCTGTTCATGATGTTTTCCCTCTCCTTTTTCTCAGCATTCTCCCATTTACAAGTCCTTCCACTACTACTTCACTCTGTCTTACTCTTCCTCTGCCTTGCAAGTAACTTGTGAGGTTTAAATTTTCAGAGTTGCCAGTCCCTATTATAATGCTCCTCTTTCTACTCGAATGCTGAATTTGTGTGACTACTGCCTCCTTTCCCAGAAATCATTCTTGAACTATTAAAAAAAATGCTATGGGAAACAAATGGGTGTGTTTTGAACTGGGGTGTGTGTGTGTGTGTGTGTGTGTGTGTGTGTGTGTTTCCTTTGGAGGTGTGGGTATTGACCTCTAAGACAGGAGTCTGCCTGGCGCTGCTGTAGAAGAAGAAAACCATGGGGAAGGGAACTGTTGGACTACTGTTTTAGTTTCTCATCTCCCTCATTATCTTGAAATTACCTTTTTCTACTCTTGCTGTCACCAGAGCCCTAGTCCAGCTCTCCTCAGGAGTAAATCAGGGTGTTGTAGGAGTCTCATCTTGTCGAGAAAAACAAGCAATGACAGTCTTATACTGAACTTCCTCAGTCACTTCTGTCCCTTATCCTCTTATACCTTAGGTCGCTCCAAGTCCCTATTATGATGCCTCTTCTCCCTGAGGAACAAAGGTGAATGTTTGATTTCAGTGGCGATTGTATGTGGTGTAGAGTGACTGATGTTCTGGAGCTTGCACTTGCCACTTTTTCATTTCCTACCTTGCTTCATCTTACTGCAACTGATGTGAGTTGGAATCTAGTCTTCTTCCACATGGTTTGCCTGTCAGAGTAGCTGCTGTTCTCCAGGAAAAATAACACAAAGACAGTTGAAGAGCACAGAAATAATTTAACAGACCAACATTTTAATGTTAGACTGGTAATTAATCATAAAAGAAACAGGGCGGGCCTTCGTGGTGGTGCAAGGGGTTAAGCACCACGCTATGAAGCAATCCGCAGTCCGCAGCCTCTGCAACATGACTTCGATCCCCAGCCGGCCAGGGAGCAACCCACATAGCAGCAGACCTTTCCTGTCTCGCCCGCTTCTCCCCTCAGCAGTGTATTTCAGTCACTCTGCCTGTTCTGTTCCCCGTTCTGTCTCTGGTGAATCCTCTCCCCCCTCCCACATCTCTGGCCTGTACCCCTGTTCTCGTATGCATAAATAAATATTTAAAAAAAAAAAACAGGGAAATATTAGCAAATATCCTTATTGAAATAAGCAGGGACGAAGAATATCAAGCATAGGGCCTCCCTGGTGGCACAAGGTGTTAAACACAGCATTATGAAGCTATCTGCAGCAGACCTCTCCTGATTTGCCTGCTGTTCCCTTCAGCAGGGTATTTCAGTCAGTCTGCCTGTTCTGTTCCCTGCTCTGTCTCTGGTGAATCCTCTCACCCCCTCACACATCTGGCCTGTACCCTGGTTCTTGTATAAATAAATAAATAAATCTTTAAAAAAAAAAAAAGAACCCTATCAAGTGTATGCTAGCAATTTTGAAAACAAAATGGAAGCAGAAACAAAAATTTTGAATATGTTTGAATTAGCATTACAATTTGTTTTTTTATTTTATTTCATTTTTTTTTTAAGATTTATTTATGCATACAAGAACTGGGTACAGGCCAGAGGTGTGTGTGGGGGCGGGGGTGAGAGGATTAACTGGAGACAGAGTAGGGAACAGAACAGGCAGTTTGACTGAAATACACTGCTGAGGGGAGCAGCAGGCAAGTCTGGAGAGGTCTGATGCACCATGTTGGCTTCCTGCTGACTGTTCAGGATTGAAATCGTGCTACAGAGGCTGTGGACAGCCTCATAGGCAGTGTATTAACCCCCTGCGCCACCAGGGAGGCCCAGCATACAATTTTGCATAATATTTATTAAAGAAGTTAAAATTGTGAGGGCCTCCCTGGTGGCACAAGGGGTTGAGACGTAACCTGTGAAGCTATCCACTGCTACTGCAGCACAAGTTCAATCCCTGGACAGGGAGCAGCCCACATGATGCAAAAGACCACTCCTGACTTGCCCACTGCTCCCCTCAGCATTGTATTTCAGTCAACCTGCCTGTTCTGTTCCCCATTCTGTCTCTGGTGAATCCTCTCACTCCCTACACCTCTGGCCTGTACCCCAATTCTTGTAATGCATAAATAAATAAATCTTTTTTAAAAGTTAAAATTGTGATTAAAAATCTTCCCACAAAGAAAACACTGGCTTTTATCAGTTTTGCAGGTGGATTCTACCAATCTTTCAAAAACCATAACATCTCCATTTTGTAGTTTTCAGACAGTAAAATAATAGGTACTACTCAAAAATTCATTCTATTAGGCCTGATAGCCCTAACATCAAGATGAGACAAAAACAGTAGACAATTGCAGACCCATTTCATTTACATAGATTTAGGACCTAAGCAAAATAATTAGCAAATCAAAATGAACAGGTTATTAAAAAAGGGTAATACCCAGAAACCAAGTTGGGTTTATCCTAGGTATATAAGGATTTAATGTTTTTTTTTTTTTTTTTTTTATTCATGCACACAAGAGCTGGTGTACAGGCCAGAGATGTGGGGGGTGAGAAGATCCACGAGAGACATGGGGAACAGAACAGGCAGACTGACTGAAACACACTGTTGAGGGGAGCAGCAGGCTAGACAAGAGAGGTTTGCTTTGTCATGTGGGTTGCTCCCTGGCTGGCTGGGGATTGAACTTGTGCTGCAGAGGTTTTGGATTGCTTCACAGTGTGGTGCTTAACCCCTTGCGCCACCAGGGAGGCCCTGTAAGGATTTAATATTTAGAAAATCCATAAATCCAAAATTCACATTGATTAAAAGACAAAAATGATCATCTCAGTAAATAAAGAAAAAGCACTTTATAAATCACTCTTACAGTCTTATTAATGAGGAAAAAGAGGGAGACTTCTAAGCTAATAAAAGAGTAGCTGTTTAAAAAAAAGCAAATATGTTGTAGGGAAACAATGAGAGCACTTCCTTTAAAGTCAGAGACAAAGAAACCTGATATATATTCAACATTGCATTGATAGTCCTAAGTAGTAAGACAAATAGAAGAAATTAGAGGCACAAGAATTGGGAAGAGGGAATAAAATTCTGTTACCTGCAGATGATAGGATCATTTACATAGAGAACAATGATTTGAAAAAATAGGTTAATAGAAGTAATTATGTGAGTTTTTGCAAGAGAACTAGATATAAGATTAATGAGTCATTTGTATTTCTTTACATAGGCACAAACCACTAAAAATCAATGAAAGAGAAGGCATGATCGTGTCAAAACTATTTTAGAAATTACTGTAATGCAGTGGTACTAGCCCTCTAAGGAGAATGTTCAGGAACACTGCTAAGATATTAAATAAGTCTTTAATAAGTAGAAGAATATATCATGTTAATGAATTAGAGAACAATTTGATTGCATTATAAATGTAATATTCAAAATCCCAACAGGGATTTTCTTTTTCTTTTTTTTTTTTTTTTAATAGAGGCATGTTTTTTTATTTATTTATTTGTTTGTTTGTTTTGTTTATACATGCACTGGGTACAGTCAGAAGCCCGGGAGGGTGAGAGAATTCACCAGAGCCAGAGCGGGGAGCAGAGCAGGCAGAAGGACCGAAGGACACTGCTGAGGGGAGCAGCGGGTGGCAGGAGAGGTCTGCGCGCCATGTGGGACCCTCCTCCGGTGGAAGGGGAGCAGCCGGGGATCGAACTGGCGCCACAGAGGCCGCGGGCAGCTTCGCAACCCAGCGCTCAACCGCTGCGCCACCGGGGAGGCCCCCAACAGGGATTTTCATAGAACTTGATGATACTAAAATTTATATGGAAGAGTTAAGGGACCAAGCATAGCTAGTTACTTCTTAAAAGGAACAGGGAGGGGAAGATTGCCATACTGGATAGCAAGACTCACAGGAATTAAGACAGTGTGGTGCTGTGTAAACACAGAAATGTTGAACAGTGGAATAGAGTAGAGAACTCTGAGGTGCATATAAGGGAAATTTGATAAATGACAGAGGTCATGGTCCAGAAAGGTATTGTTAAATTGAGCTGGGAAAAATGACCATTGAAATGGAAAGAGAAAAGTGACACTTGTGTAAAATCTCTAAAAAGAAAAATAAGTCAGGTCCAGATGGATTAGGATTTAAATGTCATAGAAGTTTAAAAATTTTAGCAGGCCCTCCTGCCAGTCTTAGTAAAAAGTATAGGTAAACATAAGACCTTGGGTGGGGCTTCCCTGGTGGCGCAAGGGGTTAAGCACCACACTATGAAGCAATCCACAGCCTCTGCAGCACGAGTTCGATCCCGGCCAGAGAACAACCCACATGGCACAGCAGGCCTCTCCTGACTCGCCCCGCTGTTCCCCTCAGCAGTGCTTTCAGTCCTTCTGCCCGTTCTGCTCCCCGCTCTGTCTCTGGTGAATCCTCTCACCCTCCCACGTCTCTGGCCTGTACCCAGCTCTTGTATAAATAAATAATTTTTTTTTTAAAAAAAGACCTTGGGAAATAAAATATTACTTAGCTAGACCAGCTGGAGGTCATTGACTAAAAAAAAAAAAAGAGGTGATAAATATAAATTTGATTTGTGTAGAATTAAGTTTTTTGGGCCAACTCATGGCGCAAGGGCTTAAGACGCAGCCACAGCAGCATGAGTTGGATCCCCAGCCAGGGAGGTGACCCACATGGCGCAGCAGGCCTCTCATGTCTCACCTGCTGTTCCCTTCAGCAGTTTATTTCTAGTGGATCTGCCTGTTCTGCTCCCCACTCTGTCTCTGGAATCTTCTTACCCCCTGCATCTCTGACCTGCACCGCAGCTCTTATGTCCATAAAAAAATAAATCTTTAAAAAAAAGAATTAAGTTTTTGCTCATAAAAACGCCTTCTGGAAAATGCAGATTACAAATTGGGAGAATATGTTAGTAGAACACCCAGTTGACAAAGAGCTAATATTAAAACTCTGTAAAGAACTACTGTAAGTAAGTATAACAAAATCAATTAGAAAATGTGCAAAAGACACAAACATCTATCACAGATGAAATACATGTGGCTGACAAACATGTAAAGACAGCATCATTAGCGATCAGGGAAATATAAATCATGGTCATACCTATTTGGCAAAAATTAAGTTTTATGATACCAAATTTTCAAGGAGGGGTAGATTGACAGAATATCTTATACATTCTGAGAGAATTATAAATTGGTACAAATATTTAAATTGAATTCCGTATTAGATTTATATATGGGGGCCTCCCTGGTGGTGCAAGGGGTTAAGACGCAGCACTATGAAGCAATCTGCAGCCACTGCAACACGAGTTTGATCCCGGACCAGGGAGGTGACCCACGTGGAGCAGCAGACCTCTCCTGCCTCTCCTGCTGCTCCCCTCAGCAGTATATTTCAGTCAATCTGCCTGTTCTGTTCCCCACTCTGTCTCGGGTGAATCCTCTCACACCCCCCCCATTTTGGCCTGTAACCCAGTTCTTGCATGCATGCATAAATAAAATGTTTAAAAAAAAAAGACATATATGCTCTGACCCAGGAATTTCTCTCGTAGATATGCCCAAGAGATACTTTTTGCACATGTACATCAAATAACATGCATAAGAGTGTTAATGGTGAAATATTTATAAGAGTGAAAACATAAAAACAACTCAGATGACCCATCATACACTAGGATGTTATATGGCAGTCAGGATAAGTGAAAAATGAAATAAAAGTATGCTATTATATGAGTGAACTCTAAAAC